GATAGTTCCAAGGTCATGGAAAGTGCTACAGAAATGCAAATCTTTCATTGTTTCTACAGTCACAGGAAGAGTGGCATTTGGGAGCTTCAGGGCAAAGGGAATAAAATGGGCAACCAAGCAAAATTAAAATGTTATTGAGAGACTAAGGCAGCAAGAGGAAGAATGATGGCAAACAACATCTCTCTGTATAAAACCCTCTCTTTTCCCAAAAGCTGGCAATATGCCTGAGTATTCTTAGGGGAATAGGACCCTGCTGAATATGCCAAGGAATATTTAAGGAAATAAGGGCAGGTGTACAGGGAGTTGCAAAGGAAATCATTCATAGCTCCTTAAATACCGCAGTTCCAGAGTAGTTATTTCCCAGTGTTGTAATCCTGTTAATTACATGCCTGTTAGTTTAATGCCTGGAGCTGGGACGCAGCCGTGATAGATGCTTGACAACATGTCATTTGAGGTCAATAGGCTGAGGAGGAGAGGTGGGGTTTCACCAGCTCAGAGGTCATTCTCAGTCTATCCACTGGCATTCATCCGGAATAATTATCCCACAGTACCCATTTACTCCTGATAAACCAAAAGATGAAAGGTTATCAAGATTCTGTCTACACCTTGCCTTAAAAATATTCAAAAACGTTCTCCATCGCATTTTCATAGAGAGAGTTTCAAAGCCTCCCGCCCTACAGAGGTAGAAATTACACTCAGCTTTGTCCTAAATGGGTGATCCTTGATTTTTAAGTAGTGACCTCTGGTTTGAAATTCCCACACATCCACCCTGTCCAGACTCCTCAGGATTTTATGCTTCAATCAAACCGTCTTTTACGGTTCTAAACTCCAGTAGATACAGCCCTGACCCATCCAGCCTTTCCTCAACAGGTAACCCACCCATTCCAGGTGGGAATTAAGAAAGCCATTCAGTCCCTTTGGCCTTGTTTGCCTTTCTACTGGTTTATGATGCATCAGTATCCCAACTCCCACTACTCAGTCTTGGTTCCATTAGCCCTAATCCCCTCACCCCTCCCTCTAGCCTCACAGCTTTTTGAGGGATACAGTTCGAGATTTCCACCACCCAGTGTGAAAAAATACTTTTAGACATCACTCCTGAACAACCACTCTCTTCCTGAAAAGGTGATGGGGAATCTTTGCTTATTTTTAAGGCAGGAGTAGATACACTTTTGATAAATGAAAGGATGAAAGGTTATCAGGAGTATTTGGGTAAAGTGTGGTAATAAGATCAATCACAATTTATTGAAAGACAGAGTTGGCTTGAGAGGCTGAGTGGCATACATTTGGCTCCAATGTGAAGATTCTGCCCTTGTGTTCCAGACCCGCTCCACTGGATCAGTTTCTCCCTCAGTTTCACCCTCATACCATTCCGATCACCTGTAGGACTGGGTGGGACTTATCCCGGGTGGTCATTTTGGCAAAGAACCATTGGGAAGCTGATAAAACCCAGAGCAAGGCAGGGGGGACCTCAGTGGATGTGACACAGGCAGTGGCATCATACCAATCCCACCAACCCACAGTGCAACTCCACTCAAACCCAAACCCCATCTTCCAATTGACAGACCACCTATGTTACCAACGACATGCCAAGTTTGATCTTCTCCTAGGGACTTTGCAGTCTCAAAGTCTCCCAATCTGGAGGCACCTCATTTGTTCTGCACTTACATCCCCATGTGACCATTCTATCTGCCCCACAACTATACTGTTAATAATCATTCACATTCCTCAAAGATGTATTTAACTTCATCACACTGCACCAAGCACTATAAATGTTGTACTCTGGGCTCTGGAAGCTCACCTCACACATACCTGCTCTAAGCTACTGCTCAAAACCCACTGCTTCGACCACACTTTCTTACTTCTGCCATGATTTCTCTCAGTCTCACTAGCCATTTGTTGTGGAATATTACAGCACAGAAAGAGACCATTCAACGCATCATGCTTTGGACAGATCTTTGAAAGTCCCATTCCTCTGTGCTGTTTCTCCACTATTCAGCAAATTCCTTCTTTTCAATATTTATACCAGTCACTTTAGAACATTATTATTGGATCTGCTTTCCCCAGCCTTCCAGGCAGCACATTCCAAATTGCAACAACTCAATGCGTAAATAAACAAGCATTCTCTTCAATTCCCTCCAGTTCTTTTTCAAACCATCTTACATCACTGTCCATCTGGCCATCAATTCACAGGCCTCTGGGAAAAGTTTTGCCTGATTTACTCAATTGAAACTGCTGATTCTTATGTGGTTTGATGCCACACTGAGTTTGGTCTCTTTACAGAGGACAGGGCAAAATCAAGAACTGTCTTCAGATTTCTATTTCAAAGTAACACTATTCATTATACATTAGTGTTAAATACTGCAATACATGGCAGTTATAGATATATCAGGTTCTGACATCAGGCAAGAACAAATCTATCATCTTCACACATTCATGTCCAAATGCTTTTGAGAGTCTTCCTGTCTAGGGTGTTCTAACTTCACCCACACTGATATTTATACCCAGTGCCGTGCAGCGCTGTGACATCGTCACAAAGTTGTTCTCGGGTCCTAAAGTCCTTACGTAGCTCATGATTTTGAACATGTTGATTAAATCTCCCCATAACCTTCTCCACCCTAAGGAGGAGGACCCCAGCTTCTCCAACCTCTCCTCATGAGCTGATGTTCCTCACAGTTGGTCCCATTGTAGCAAATCTCATCTGCATCTGCTTTAACATCTTGACATCTTTACCCAGAATTGAATACAATACTCTAGATGAGGTCTAGCCAGTGGTTTATAAACGTTCAGTGCTGCTCCCTTGCATCTTGTACTCTATACCTCTATATATAAAACCCAGGATATCACATATTATTCTTAAAAAAAGAACAGGTTTATCAACTGGTCCTGTCATCTTCAAAGATTTGTGCACATGTACCCCAATTTAAAAACTGTGCTATTTAGTTTATACTTTTGTCTGTTTAAGTTTCTGTAATGAAGCTGGGAATATTCTTCTCCATTAAAGGTGCTGTAAGTTGTAGTTGGAACAAATCCAGTCACTGAGTAAGAGAAAGCTGTCTTGCTACAGAGGGCATCACAGCTGAGCTACAGTCATGCATGGAGATCGAGCAGTTTCTGGGGAGAGATGGAGAACACAATCCTTGGCTCATTTGCCCCTCTTCTCACTGAAACCAATTGTTATTTGTTGTAGAGGAGAGGGCAGGGGAAATCACTGACTTCAGTCCCCTCCAGATTTCCACTCCCCCTTGTGACACTAAGCTGGGTGGCAGCGTGCCAGCGTGCACTGTGAGGAGAATGCCAAAAGGCTGCAGGGTGACTTGGATGGAATGGCTGAGTGGGCAAATACAATATAATGTGGATAATGTGAGGTTATCTACTGTGGTCGCAAAAACGGGAAGGCAGATTATTAACTGAATGGTGGCAGTTTAGGAAAAGGTGAGATGCAACAAGACTTGGGTGTCATGGTGGAACGGTTGGTGAAGGTTGGCACGCAGATGCAGCAGGCAGTGAAGAAAGCTAATGGCATGGTGGCCTTCATAGCAAAAGGATTTGAGTATTGGAGTAAGGATGTCTTGCTGCAGCTATGCAGGGCCTTGGTGAGGCCACACCTTGAGTATTGTGTGCAGTTTTGGTCTCCTAGTCTGAGGAAGGACATTCTTGTTATTGAGGAGTCCAGCGAAGCTTCACCAGACTGATTCCCAGGATGGCAGGACTGACATACGGGGAAAGACTGGATTAACTGGGCTTTTATTCACTGGAATTTCAAAGAATTGGTGGGGTGGGGGGGTGGGTATCTCATAGAAACATATAAAATCTTGATGGGACTGGACAGGCTAGATGGAAGAAGAATGTTCCCAATGTTGGGGAAGTCCAGAACTAGGGGTCGCAGTCTAAGTATAAGGAGTAATCCATTCAGGACTGAGATGGGGAAGAATTTCTTCACTCAGGGAGTTGTGAACCTGTGGATTTCTCTCCCACAGGAAGTTGTTGGGGCCAGTTCGATAGCTATATTCAAAAGGGAGCTGGACGTGGCCCTCACCACTAAAGGGATCAAGGGGTATGGGAAGAAAGTGGGAATGGGATACTGTGATTGCATGATCAGCCATGATTGTATTGAATGGTGGGGTAGGCTCGAAGGGTCGAATGGCCTACTCCCGCACTTATTTTCTATGTTTCTATGTGTGAGCGTGTGCTTCCTGAGATCTCCATGAATGGGCTGGCTCGGATTTCAAGATGCTACTTCCCCCGTTCTGAAATCCTTCAAAAGAAAATATAGTTCCTCTCCATCGACCCATTTAACAGCTCAAACACCTCGATTGATCACCTGTTAATCTTCTAGGGAAGATATCAGCATCACTAGGCAGGGTCAAATGATTGTCAGCCATCGCGTCGACCCAGAAAGACAGGCTAACTGTATTCAGTAACCGCGACTTCTCACCCCAAGGGGTCTTTACCCTCCCCACAACAGCTACTCACCAAAAGGGTTATCTCTTCCCCACTCCTTCCACAAAATATGGAGAAAAGGTTGCAATACATATTCTCAAATATTTCATTTTGAAACGAATATTACTTCACTATTTGCAACGTTATGTACTGCAGATATTACTCACAAAGCTTTAATTACCCGGCACCACACAGAAACAGGGAGAATGACAGTGAGACACCGCCAGCGAGAGAGACAGTGAAACACACACACACACACTTCAGAAATTCTGTGCATTATTTGCAACAGTGAAATAGGTCACTATCCTTTGATTCTGGGCGAACACGCGGTATCGAGCTGAGCATCAAAGCGGGTTACAGTGTATCCGCGGGGTGCAGACGGTTCCTGCTGCTCACCTTCTGCAGGTTTCGCTATTAACACACTCGCCTTGCCAGCATGCGCTGCAGCCTCTACCCAGCTCGGGCAGGTTACACAAGGTGCCTGCAAACCCAGCCTGGCTCCGTGGCTGCCCAATCCCCCATCTCCTCTTTCCCCGGCTGCAATACAACAGCCCACTTACCCAGAAATTATTCCCAAAATGTTGCATCTTGAGTCCCAGGAGCAGCTCCTGAAACTGATACAGCTCCCGAAACTGACACACGACGGGATGCGCCCCCACTTCCTCATAGGTCATAACAAATGTCAATCTAATATCAACCCGCCCATCTGCTAACGGTAAGTCAGACATTTGACCGTCTATTGGCTGCTCACCATGTCACTCATAGAGATCATGGTGATAATTGGCTATATTTCACATAGTTAGCCTTAATTGGTTAACAGGGAACCTATCATGCTTGGCCCCGCCTCCTACCTTCCCTGTTGAAAATAGAACACAATTCTCTGAGTGAAGTAGACTAATTTACAACCGAGAGACAGCAAAGTAGTCAATGAAGAGACCCCTAGGATATTGGAACTGTTACCGTTCCTGGGAAAGCGAACAGTATTTGATACAGTATTTTTTTAAACAATATGCAAGGTTTTGATAAAGCAGCCACAGGCAAAATGTTTTGCGAAAGGTTTCCATCAATGTGTAAGATAATCACCAAAAAATCAAATAAGGTAATCTTTAACCACACACTGGTGAGAATGTGGAACTGACTACTGCTGGGAGGGGCAAAGGGTATGAATGTATTTAAGGGGAAGCTGGAGAACCACATGAGGGAGAAAAGAATAAAAGGAAGTGTGTTAGACTAAGATAAGGCAGGTTGGGGGACGTTCTGGTCGACCATAAGCACTAGCAGAAACTGGTTGGGCTGAATAGCCTGTAATAAAAATTTGTCAGCCTAGAATTTTCTGAGTTGGGGCATCTCACTGCCTGCCCCATCAATACTTTTCTACACACACTTCTGAGGAAGGGTCATCGGATCCGAAACGTTAACTCTGTTTTTTCCTTCACAGATCCTGCCAGACCTGTTGGGCTTTTCCAGCAACTTCTGTTTTTGTTCCTGATTTACAGCATCCACAGTTCTTTTGGTTTTTATTTAATATTTTTCTACACTTCAGCTCAAAAAAATGTTTGTTCCACAAGTTGCTGGGAGTGTGATTTGATGAAGGCATGGTAATGCAGCATCAGGCACCTTGTTGAACAATGGGATCAACTGCTTATCTCTTTAAATAGCCTCAAGGTTTTTGGACATAGTCTGAGTCACTTGGGAATCAGGGGATCACAACGTCATACCATGGTTAATGGACAGTAAAAGGCCATTCAGCTTTCTGTGCCTGTGCCAGCTCTTTGTGAGAAAATCTCCACTAGACCCATTATCCTGCTTTTGACCCGTAGCCCTTAAATGTTTTTCTCTTACAAATACCCTTTCGAAAGCCATAATTGAATCTGCCTCCAACACACTTTTAGGCAGTGTTCACCAGATCCGAAACACTCGCTGCGTAAAAATGATTTGCTCCATGTCACCTCCGGTTCACTTGCCAATCATCTTAAATCAGTATCCTCCGGTTCTTAATCTTTCCATCAGTGAGAACAGTTTCTCCCCATCTAATCCATCATGATATTGAACATCTCTATCAACTCTCCTCTCAACTTTGTCTTTTCGAAGGAAAGCAGCCCCTGCTTCTCTAATCTATCTGAAAGTTTCTCATCCCAGGATTCCATTCTTGTAAATCTTATCTTCACGGTCTCTAATGTCTTCACGTTCCTCTTCAACTGTAGAGCCATTGAAGATGAATCCTACAACGGTTCCTCATAGCCTCCTTGCTGTTGTACTCAACATATAAAGCACAGGATCTCATGCGTTGCTTTCAACCTGCTCTAATACATTTAACCCCAGTGTCCCTCTATTCAATATTTTTCATTTCCTGTCTCTCAGTGAACTTTGTTTCCTTGCTGCCACTGATCCTTTCATTCCATGGGCTGCAGCCCTGTTATGTGGCACTTTGCCAAGCAGCTAAAGGAATTCCACCTACACACCTTCCCAACTCTTTCTATTACCTTATCAAACTACTCACCCAAATTTGCTGAGCACAAATTGCCCTTAACTTCTCCAAATCATGCCAACTTAACTTAATGAAACCATATTTGTCAAAGACAATGACGTCAGTAGTAAGTAAGTTGTTGGAGAGAATCCTGAGGGATCGGATTTACGTGTATTTGGAAAGGCAAGAAAGCCCAGCAGGTCTGGCAGCATCTGTGAAGGAAAAAACAGAGTTAACGTTTCAGGTCAGGTGACCCTTCCTTGGAACCTGAAATGGACCCGAAACGTTAACTCTGTCTTTTCCTTCGCAGATGCTGCCAGACCTGCTGAGCTTTTCCAGCAACTTTGGTTTTGTTCCTGATTTACAGCATCCGCAGTTCTTTCGGTTTTTATTTGGAAAGGCAAGGACTGATTAGGAATAGTCAACATGGCTTTTTGCGTGGGAAATCGTGTCTCACCAACTTGATTGAGTTTTTTGAAGAAGTGATGCAGAAGATTGATGAAGGCAGGGAAGTGAACTTTGTCTATGAACTTTGTCTATATGGACTTCAGCAAGCTGTTCGACAAGGTTCTGTATGGTAGACAGTTAGCAAGATTGGATCATGTGGAATCCAGGGAGACCTAGCCATTTGGACACAAAATTAGCTTTAAGGTAGGAGACAGAGAGTGATGGTGGAGGTTGGAGGGCTGTTTTTAAGACTGGAGGCCTGTGACCAGTGATGTACATCAAGGATTGGTGCTGAGTGCACTGCTTTTTGATGTGCACTGCTTTTTGATGAATGATTTGGATCTGAATAAAGGGGGAATGGTTTAGTAAGTTTACAGATGACACTAAAATTGGAGGTGTAGTGGACAGTGAAGACGATTAACTCAGTGTACAGTGGGACCTGGATCAGATGATCCAATGAGCCAAGGATTGGCAGATGGAGTTTAATTTGGATAAATATGAGGTGTAGCATTTTGGTAAGGCAAAGCAGGGCAGGACTTAAACACTTCTGCTCGGGTCCTGAAGAGTGTTGTCATACTAAAAGACCTTGGACTCTAGGTTCATAGTTCCTTGAAGGTGGAGTCACAGGTAGACAGGATAGTGAAGAAAATATTTGGCACACTTGCCTTTATTGGTCACGGCATTGAATGTAGGAGTTGGGAGGTCACGTTGCAGCTGTACAGGACATTGGTTAGGCCACTTTTGGAATACTGTATGCAATTTGGGTCTCCCTGCTATAGGAAAGATTTTGTTAAACTTGAAAGGGTGCAAAATAGGTTTACAAGATGTTGCCGGGATTGGAGGCTTTGGGTTATAGGGAGACGCTGAATAGGCTACGGCCATTTTTCCTGGAGCGTTGGAGTTTGAAGGGTGACCTTATAGAGGTTTATAAAATCATGAGGGACACAGATAGGGTGAATAGCCAAGGTCTTTTTTTCCCAGGGTAGGAAGTCCAAAACTAGAGGCCATAGGTTTAAGATGGGAGGGTAAAGATATGTAAGGGACCTAAGAAACAACGTTTTCACACAGAAGCTGGTGCGTGTGTGGAAAGAGCTGCCAGAGGAAGTGGTGGAGGCTGGTACAGTTACAGCATTTAAAAACATCTGGATGGGTATATGAATAGGAAGGATTTTGAAGGATATGAGCCAAATGCTAGAAAATGGGACTAGATTAATTTAGAATATCTGGGTGGCATGGATGAGTTGGACCGAAGGGTCAGTTTCCATGTTATACCTCTCTATGGCACTGTTTGTTTTGTCCCTAGTCATTGATTCTGTAAACTTCCCACCACTAAGATTCAGCTGGCTGGTTTGTAGTTATTAGACTTTTCCTTACACACTTTTTTGAACAAGGTGTAACATTGGCAATTCTCTGTATTTAAGAAGTATGAACGTTTATGACCTATTGCCTCCACGATTTCTACACTTCCCTCCCTGATTATTCTTGGCTGTTTTTCATCTGGTTCTGGTGACATATTAACTTTAAGTACAACCATCCTTTCTAATATCTCATCTTTTATTGAATTTGAGCCCATGCAGTGTCTCAACTACTTTCTCTTTCACTATGACTTTGGCAGCATCTTCTTCCTTGGTGAAGATAGAGGCTTAATAATCCTTCAGTAACTCAGTTGTATCCTCAGCTTCAATGTGTAAATCCCTTTGTGGTCCCTAATTCACACTACTCCACTTTCACCATCCAGTTACTATGTACATGTCTATACAAGATGTTTCATATTCCCGTTATCTTCTCACACTCACATCTTTGCTTCTTTAATTTCTTCTTTCAGTTTCTGACCAAGTGTTTGACATTGGGTCTTGTGTTAAAATTGAGACAGCTGTCCTACAGACAGTTGCCCTGGGAGTCCTCAACATTGACTCCAGACCCCATGAAGTCTCGTGACAACAGATCAAACATGGGCAAGGAGACCTCGGCTGATTACCACCTACTACTCCCTCTTTTGCTGGTGAATGAGTAGTCCTCCATATTCAACATCACTTGTTGACTTGTTGAGGTCATCTAGATCGCAGGTGACAGTACAAAAAGAGTAACTGAGAGAAATAAGGTAATTTTTAGAAGTGAAGAGAATGCAATAAGAAATCAAACCACAAATGTTCAGGGAGTAGTCGATTGATGTTTCAGGTGCAATTGAAAGTACTATTATGCCATGAATTGTCCCAAATGCTATAGTAATGTCATAGAGTCATAGAGATGTACAGCATGGAAACAGATCCTTTGGTCCAACTCGTCCATGCCAACCAGATATCCTAGGCAAATGTGTTTGAAACTAACCATGAGATCAAGGAAGAAAATGATGATATGGATTAAAGGAAGGGCATTGTGTTGTTCACAAGAAGCTTCAGCACAGTGATGAATGTATTGGTGGCAGAATCTTTCAATTGTGCAGTATTGGACAGTGGACCTGTGGAATAGACTGGCTAAAATGCTACCTTGACTCTGAGTAATAAAGATCAGAAAATAGTTAAAGAATTTGCAAGTTACACCAATTTCAAATTTGGGGACAGTGAGTAGTCATTCTGTATAAAATAGCCCAAATCAATAATTTTAGCAGCTCGGATGTAGTGTCTAGTGAATAATTAGTATTATTAAGTAGGCCATCAATGAAGAAAGCACGGATAAAACTGAATAGAGAAAATGACAAAGCAATTGTATTTGGAAAATCTTTGACTTTGCA